AAAAAAAAAAAAAAGAAAAAGTACAGAAAGTATGACATGAAAAGAACAGAATCTGTAACAACCCATGCTGAAAAGTGGACATTCCCCAACTCTGTCTCTGAGGGCTCTTCCAAATAGAAACACACCCAGGACTACAGCGTCCCTGTGACAAGAGGCCTGCTTGAGACTTCTGGTGGGAGCAGGCAGCAGCTTTTCCAGCTAGCAGTGTTTTCTTCCTCTGGATTCAGGCTGGCTGTGTGGTACCTGAAGATGTTCCTTGGAGTGTGGTGATGCTTTAGCTGGGTGTGCTTGGAAAGTACAGTAGTCTCAACCTTGACACATTGAGAGCTTAAACACAGTCCTTCCCAGGCCCCAGAGCAGAAGCCTCAGGAGCAGAGAAAATTATGTGAGGTTGTTTTTTTCCTTGAGACAGGATCTCACTATGTAGCCTAGGCTGGCCTTGAACTCTAGCAGTCCTGCATCAGCCTCCCAAATGCTGGGATTACAAGCGTGCACTGCCATGCTGGCTGGTGAGTTTTGAATCTCTAGGTTGCCTGAAGTTTTAACACCAAGGGCAAAAGAAGTAGCCTAAAGAAAAGGCCTGAAGTTGACACTCTGGTAGGGAAGACCCATCCCTGGAACCCTAACTTGAGGTACTAGAATAAAACAAGTAGACTGTGGCAGTTGTGGCCTTGAGCCCAGGCCGGAGATGGTGAACTCTCCAAGTCTCACAGAATTCACTTTTGCTCTTTCTGGGCTTCCCATTTCAAGAATTCCTACCAGGGCCAGGGATTTAGCTCAGTGGTTTCGCTGCTTGCTGCACAAGCGCAAGGACCTGAGTTTGATCCCCAGTACAACAACAAAAAAAGAACTCCTACCTCACCCCTCTCATGCTAGGCAAGTGCTCTACTACTGAGCTACATCCCTAGCCCTTACATTCACCCTTTCTCCCTCCTCAGTAAAAATAGATCTAGGCCCTTTGAATATTTCTTTGCCAGCTGGTGTTATGTTAATTTGTCAGTACACTGGCTAGGAGAGCATTGCAGGATGAAAGGGTGGCTGGGGATCAAATGGAGCACATCCTTACCCTAGAAGAAGGTTTTGCTTCCTGGTTACATGGACCACTCCTGACAGGCTCTGAAGTATAAGGGGTTCCCCCACCCTCTGCAGCACAGGCAGCTTCTCCAGGACCCATCCCGGTGGCCTGTGGCTGCCCTGGTACCATCCTTCGATGCCTTTGTAGTGGAGTGCCTCTGGGGAGACACCTTCCAGTGGACAGCTTTCCCTGGCACCCCAGAGGGGAAATTTCCAAAAAGTCCCAGCAGAATGGCATCTCGGGGAATTCTGTGTCCTCTGCAAAAAGTTGTGTATCTCAGTTCAGGAAAGATGGAGGCTTTTTCTTGTACGTTCAATCTAAGCTTGAGGAATGGTGCCCACTCCTTATATCCACTATTCCCGCATTCTTTAGAACTCTCTTTACTTCTTACTACTTATAGTGGGCAGAATTTTGTCCCCACCCCAAAGATATGTTTAAGTCCTAACCCCTTCCCCTCAGTTGTTTTTTTTGAGACTATGTAGCTCAGGGTGGTCTGGAACCCAGGGCAATCCTCCTGCCTCCCAATCTCAACTGCTGGGATTACAGTCCTGTGCCACCACGCCCCGCCCCCTTGGTCCTTGCAAATTTGACCTTATTTGGAAATGAAAAACTGCAGATGTAATCAAGTTAAAATGAAGTCATAGTGGATTAGGATGGCCTTAATCACTGGTGGGTTGTTTCAAGAAAAGGGAAATTTAGCCAGGGATTTAGCTCAGTGGTTCTGTCACCTGCTTTGCAAGCGCAAGGTCCCAAGTTCAATCCCCAGTACCAAAAAAAAAGAAGAGAAAAGGGAAATTTGGACACAGACACATAGAAAGGAGGATGCCATGTGACAAAGAGGCAGATTGGAGAAATGCACCCACAATCTCAGGAAAGCCAAAGACTGCCAGCAAGCACTGGAAGATAGAAAGAGGCAAAGGAAGATTCTACCTAGGAAAATAACACACAACCCACTACTCCTCTTCCTCCTTTTAAATATATAGATAAGGGCCGGGGATTTAGCTCAGTGGTTTCACCCCCTGCTGCACAAGCCCAAGGACCTGACTTCAATCCCCAGTACCAAAATATATAGATAAATAGATAGATAGATAGATATCTAAATATATCCGTTTGTGAGAATAATTAGTTCTCATAATGCTAAGGACTTGTATTTCAAAGCAGCGAGAGAGAGCCAGTTGTGATCACGTGATGTTTGGCATCATGTACTACTCGTACTGCAGGACATTGCTCGTTTATCAAGTTAAAATTTATTAGAGCAAGCCAGGGATTTAGCTCA